GTTCCATCATCAAACAAGATTTAGCTGCTTCTGCAAATCCTGCTTCTCCCCCAAGATGTGTTTTTTCCTGCTACTTCAAATAAGCATTCGGCATACTGCCATGCGAAAGATTTTTCACTTACCACTTTCAGTGGTGAGTAAGTTGCATTGCTGTGGAAGACTGTTCCAGGACTATTGAGGAGCGTAATGACGAGTTCTCAAGATCAAAACTCGTCCACTTTCGCTGATGTTTCACCCGTTCACCGAACGACAGCTTTTACAATTCGGGATATAAATACAGGGTTCGCCAAAATTACTTCTTCAAATATCCACCACTGTGAAATCGGTTAAACGATAGATTGAGGACTAATTTTTCCACAACACTTTATTTATATTGAGCCATTACACACAGTCAATTGAAATCTCAAAAATCCCTCCGCGGGCTCGGGCACAGGCCCTCAGACGTAAGGGAGAGTCGTCCACAGTGGCGCGAGGGTACTCCAAAGGTTATTCTTCCTATGCTCTGAGCAGTTCCCTCTTCAGCGAATCAGTTGAGTGGTGTTGCTTAGAGCAGGCCTTGCTCTCCAATAGCAACCATACGAAATGATTCATTGGATCCAAATCAGGGCAATCAGATGGCCATTCCTAAGCATTAATAAACCCTGGGAGGGTGTCTCGGCACCAGTGCAGGGTCACCCCCGGTCTATAAGCCGGTGCTGAATCTTGTTGGAACGCGGCCTAGAGCCGAAGTGATATTTTGCTCATGGGAGCAAGATGTTTCGCAGCACGCTCTCTTAGTAAACTTCTGTATCGATTTCAACATCGTTGTCGATGAAAAACAGCGGGGACTTCGCTTTGTAGGTGATCGCTGCCCAAACCATGGTTTCTGCTGCATGTCCAGAGGCCCAAGGATTCTTCCCTTTTCGTCAGCTTGTTCATCCGTCGAGCAGAGCACCTAATCGTTTCGACGGTTGAAGGTCGACTTCAACGTAAGAATCATCGGAGAAGACAATGTCTCGGTGGCGCGCCGACGCGAACCGTTGGAGGAGCATCTTGCACCTCCTAATCCGGTTTTTCTTCATGGATGCAGCTAGGAAATGCACCTTTCGGCTTCGATAAGGTGTTAATCCCAGCTTCTCTTTGACTATACGGCGAGCGGAACAATCATTCATCCCAGCTTTTTGGCAATCTTCCTCTACGACCTCTTCGGATTGTTCGAATTGCGCCGCGCCATATCCCGTACAACTTCAACCTTTCTCGTAGAAGATGCTATTGTTTTTCTTACCCTTCCTGAGCGGTTTTCCGGTTTCTGTCGTACCGAGGTCCTTGAATCGTTTGATGGTGAAGTCCACAGCTCTGCTATTGATAGAGTTTTTTGCGATGGTTCTGGAATAGCGACCCATCTGGTGTAAGTGAATAATCGCGGATCTGAGAGGTTGAGGTTCAACCATTACGAAAGGATTAAGAGCTTAGTATCGGAGCTTGTGTTCTTGATAAAGGAAGAAGTGCCTAGTGAACATGTTCGCGGATAATCGATAGATCACGCTGCACTAAATCAATAGGTCAAACTCAAGTAATTTTGGCGCACCCTATAGATTAATAGGGTTGTATTAAGAACAAAAAGTTACCATGAAAACAACCAAGGCAATAGAGCGCCCATTGTTTTTCAGCACCAGCGACTAATAGTTATCGCGACGTTACTAATTTGATGATTTTTAGGAATACCGAAGATATCCCTAGTTTGGTTAACTGGTCTGGCTCACGACACTGTAAAATCACTTTATCACACGGATGATCAATTTTTGAAGTTCTTCACAAACAATCAGAAAAATTTCGAAAACTCATTCCTCTTTTTTTTTGGAGATCATGGGCCACGTTTTTCACGTGTGAGTCACTTTTCGCAGTTTTTTTGCTGCCATATTTTGAAATTTTCTTGAATTGTTTAATTCACACTACGCTTGTTCTAGCAGTACGATGATGCGACAAGTACTTTTTCTGTTACCCACACTTCTTTTTTGCATTGCAATTGTAGTTGAGTTTATAAGATCAGTGAAATCTCTTGCGTAAAGAGAGTCTCACTGATAATCTGAGGGGAATATCGACTCATGTCACGAATGCCAATTTACAGAAACGCAGTTTTAGTCGAAACTATAGATACGGAGCTCAGATGCATATCTCCGATTGCAAAGCTTTTGTCCTGCCATTTTTTATTTTATTACGATTTTACATGCACTGAGGGTGCAACCTACTTGTACACACACGACAGAACACTAGGCTTGACTGGAGCGTAACCGAACAAAACGGAAAATTTGTACAAACCAGCAAAGGATGACGATTTGCAACATAAAGGAGTCAAAAATAACCCAGGCGAAAGAGAACAGCAAAGTCGCAAAAAAGGATAAAAGAAGGGTGGCAACATAAGCAAAAGCACAGTTGAGACAGACCAAGTGACATCTTGTATAGAGGGGAAGGGCATTATGATGAGATAGAAGGAAGCTATCGGTAGGGAAGCTATATAGAGCAAGTAACAAATAACTTATAGCATCGTAAGGACATTATTGGATAGAAAATCACACACAGTTCATGAGGAAAAGTTGTTTTTGTCTCTATGCTACCACACTGCATGATTTAAGTTCTGCATTGGACAATACTGGCAATAAAAGGGTCAGTCTGAGCAACGTAACAGCCATGGCTAATCCGGGGCAAGCCAAAGTAAACGCCTCTTCAATCTTAACACGAATCTCATGTGTAGAATTCAGACACAAGTACGTACCTATAAAAAGCGCGCACTTATTAACTCCACTTGCCTTGATACATTAGACGACAGCCAGAAAAATGGATAGCAGAGGACTGTGGCTGTATTTTACTCCTTATTCATGTTCTACAATGGTCTAGGATGACATGACGAAACTAGAATAAAAGACAAATGGCGGCCCTACGCTAGATTTACCATCACAGAAATGTGGTTGAATGATCTTAGGGAAAGAAACTAGAACAAAGTGAGATCAGCAACACCGATAGAGAAGAAGCCTGAGGTAGATGTTGACGGCTTCTCTTCTTTAAATGTTGACGGCTTCTCTTCTTTCTTTTTAGTCTTCAGTTGTTAAGGCTTTTTCCGGTAGCCGATAGACCGGAAAAAGCCTTAACAACTGAAGACTAAAAAGAAAGAAGAGAAGCCGTCAACATTTAAAAGTCTTGCATACCAAACAAACGCATGAAGTCAATTCTAAGCAGCGCTTTCGTGACAAAGATGCCTTTTTTTCCTGGAAGAGCTCCACAGGAAGTTTGCTGAGCCGAATGGACGTCCTGTAGAAGAGGGAGTTCCTGGCAATACTGTTACGAAATCGAAAATTGTGACTACTATGGAAGTACTGATATTATAAGATGGCCTCCTCAAGGATGACGGCTTAAAGCACCAAAAGTTGAAGGGACCTAAGCAAGACTCACCCTTCAGGATTTTAAAAGTGAAGACTATGTCAGAGAATGCCCGCTTGAAGAGAAGACTTCTCATTCGAAGTTCTTTCGAACGGGTACTGTAGGCTGGCAGGGATTTGGATATCCGGGCTCAGGAAAGATGCGATAATACAAAACCTAGTGAAAATTATTGGAATTTTTTCGAGCTTACAAATGAGTTTACTTTAGCTAGGAGTCCGGACTTGACAGCATACTGAAGAATAGGGACCACAGAGGCCTTGTACAGCCTGATAAGAATCGCTGGGTCAAAGATCTTAACGATTCTAAACAAGCAGTCGAGGCGTTTGAGCGCCCTAGCCACCATGCCACTCTCATCAACTGAGTCCGGTACTTCCCCGCAATTCGGGCCTCCGTCGAATCTTTCTCGATTCTTACCGGTCCCTGTATTATTTGCTCTATCACTTTATCCAACATCTCACTTACACTCTCCACTATACTGCAAATTCCTGTTCACCACTAACCTGCATGACTCCGGCATCCGCGTCGTGGTTCGTGTTCATTTCCGACGCCATTTCCGAACACGTTAGCTTAGACCGATTGGTATATCAACGGTATTCACGCGAAATCGCAATACGCATGAATCCACGTGACAACTGACGCCTCGACACTTACCTCTTACTCACTCCTACTACTTTATACGGCTTACTCTGCGTACCTTCGTGTAACCTGCACATTTGCTAAAATTCGCTTCTGGTCCCACTCGATCACCGATACTCCCGTGAATTCCTCACCGCTCTGGGACGGCTTACTTTGTTTCCTTTTCCGTGTGCTCCCCTCGAGCAATATCTTTGGTCTCAGTCGATGACCCATGGTGAACTTTTACACTAGGACTTTCTTTGCGCCCTTTCTGTAACCGCCGGGCCACACTCGAACCTTGCCACTGATCTTAATCGATGATCGATAGCTCCAGTGGTGGGCCCTTTCCACTCTTCTCGGCCTGCCTCACCAACCCTTGAAACCCAGAGTAGCCTAATTACCTGCCACCCTAATCTCACACTTCCTGCATGCGCTGTTGGCCTGACCCTGTCTAGTCTACACTCTCGAACGGTTCGGCCCCCATGTACCGAATAGTCAGTTAGGAGGGAAGATATCGTCAGCTCGAAACAGTGTTAGACCGCTACGCACACGGTTCTCGAACAACACTTAATTTGCGCGACAAACAGAATAATTACGCGAGCCAAAACGGGCTTGTCGAAACAAATGAAATAAGAAAGAAACAGTTCAGTAGAGGGGGTATGAAGGAGTCCGGGCGGGGACGTTCTATCTTCGACAAGGCCGTCGTCGTCCTTGAGTACCTTTCTAATTCCCGCCTAAGTCACCCCGCCGCTTCGTAGGTCTTTGCAATGTCATAATTCGGCCCACATGCCTCCCCTCTCCGAAGCTGCTGTCCTCAGCAGCTAGGGCTCCATCCTTTTAAGTTCTGGCAAAGGTACCGAATCGGTCGTCCTTCTTTCAATCGTCTCGAACACTATTTTCGCACATCCCACTGTGTGGTCGGTTCCGTGAAATGATAAACACGATTCTGGTTCTCCCAGCTCACAGGATATTTATTCTTCCTCTATTTTCGAGTTTGCCGTTCTAGATAACTGTCCAGATCCCGCTCTTTTTTTCAGAGTCGCATCCAATAGTTTCCAGATATCGATCATCTTTATCCACACCTCAGAATTCTTCGCACCAACCGGAGGCCATGCCGAAACCACACGGCCACTATTCTCAAGACGCCTTTCGCAGGACTTTACCACTTCCGTAACCTCGTCCTCTTTGAATTTTTTCCAGAGGTCGAACGATAATTCGTACGGCGTGTGCCGACCATTCATTGAGAATCTCCCTGAGCTGCAAAAAAGTAGGGGCTACCCGTGTCGAGATTCCCCGCTTCGGACCATCTTTTTCTGAGAGTGCTCGAGATGCCGGTGCCGCGAAAGCAGTAGATCCCTCCTAGATCCTCTTCGAGGGAACATGACTTCAACATTTTCTTCATTACTTTGCGTGGAGTAGGGGTTAAGCTTATTGGCCTAAAGTCTTTCGGCGACGAGGCAGTTGGTTTTTTAGGGATAGGCGTTGCGATGGCCTCCCTCCCATAGCGAGGAATTCCCCCGCTAAGTAGCGAGATATTCATAGTATGACAAATGGGAGCGGCAAGTTTGCTAGCAAACATGTGATAAAAAATTGCAGGCACCTCGTAAGAAGGAATAGATGATTAATTCTTGGCACAGCGTAGGTATTCGAAAACCTCAGCAAGGGTTATGATTGGCAACGGGCATTCAGAGTCGGTTACTACAGGGAGGTCTCCAGCGGTTACCTCAGATGCAACAAAAACACTTGCAAGGTAATGTGTCAGCGCGTTAGCTTTGTCTGATGCAGATGTCAGTGCATTAGCCAATGAATACACGCAAAGAACTCTATACTTTTTATCCAATCTTTTGCTAATCTAAAAGACCTCTCATATTTCGACAGTTGGCGAGCTTTCTCTCTTTGTCAGCAATTATGCGCTTGAGATGGAAAGTAGAATCACAGTTGATTGTTTTGTACTCAGAAGATATCACCGGATCGCCAAGTGACCAATATGACCTTTCTCTGTGATCATATAGATTTCTGATCTGATCAGGGTGTTCCCCACAAGGAGACATCTCTTCTATAAAGCATAATGTTCAGTTATCATATGCAGAATGGACAATAATCTATCGTACACATCATCAATGGAAAGATATTTATCAAACACCGAGAACCAATCAATTTTGCCAAGTTCGTTTTTTATTTTTACGACTTCCAGCACTATCGCTTTAATTGATTGGATAATCGATTGGGCACTTCATCACATTCTGTTCGGAGGCACCAAGTGGTGGGTAAACGGACACACAAGCGGAGAGTTCGGACGAAGTGCAAACAACGTCAAGGATGGAAGACCCACACGTTGGTTCAAAGACATTTTCATTGAAATTCAGACTGGAAAAGAGGTCAATAATCCGACTGAACTTAGGTTTGTGTGCTGAAGGTGCCTCAGTACAGGACCAATCGATATCAAGTTGAACTCGCGAAGGAGAACAATATTGCTAGACACCGAAAATAAATCCGAAATGGGAGTACATAGCCTCTCATCATCTGGGGCACTTTGGCTTGGAGGACGATAAGCTAGAACAAATTGAATGTAATCGCCCTTGTCTGTAAGGAAATCGAAACAAATAACATCCGTTGAAATATTGGGAGGATTAAAGTACCTCTTCGACATCGATATCGTCTTGTAAGTGCACACAAAGCTCGCCACCTCCCTTACTTCCTCTATCTCTTCTGATAGCTTCATAAGGCGACACAGAATTGATCTCCGAATCGATGATCTTCTCATCAAACCAGGTCTCAGTGATAAACACCGCATGGGACTCACTGAGTGACAAAAGATGGTGGAGCTCAGTGAGTTGAATTGCAAGACTACGCGCATTAAAGAGAACAAGGGAAAACTGAAGACATGGTGCAGCAGCTTTTTTCGGGGTTCCTGACTTCAAATTGATGATACCAGTAATCTCAGGTTTTCTGATTATCCGTTGTCTGAAGACGACAAAGATTTCCTCAATATTGGGATTCGCCATTGAGCTCATTTGCACGGGCGCGGAGTTTCTTTCATTTTCAGTTTAACTGGGAATCATGGGCTTCCAAATGAAAATGCCCTTGAACTATGGATTATCTCTAGAATTTAGAATTTCTAAATTCGAGTACTCTTACGGCAGGAAAAACACATGTAACAAGACGAGTTCTGCAGGGCTCAAGCCTTCCCAATCTAAAAACTTCAACTTCGCGCTCCGACATCAAGCTTGTCCAAAATCTCACCGCCCGTTCCGTGGCCGCCTGACGCTGATGCGAATCTTGATGAATACCCGAGATGACTACAAATCGCACCCGCTTCGGCAGCCACAATCTCAGCAGGGTTAGGAGTGAGCAAGCCAACCAATTTTTTCATTAAGGGAGCAGCCTCAGGTGCTTCCTTCTCCAGAATACTTTGCAGCTCAGTAAATAGGTCAAAGCAGACATCAGATGAAAAGTTCACAATTTGGGCCGCGTAGGACGACGTTTGCTTCTGCTTTTTCGGGTCAGACGGAGCCAGGGAACTCATGGCGTGACAGCAGCAATCGATGACACGACCGCTCACCACGGCCGCGCAACAGCGACATGGCCGCACAACAGCGACATGACAGCGCAACAGCGACATGTTGTATTTATTTACTTATGTTGTTTTGCTTTTTGTTGTTGTTTGTTTTTTACTTTATGTTTGTTTTGTCTGACTGGTTGACTGTACAATCGTTCTAGCTGAAATAAAAATTCTGCTTTCCTCGTAAGCGATGAAGCCATCGCTCTACTGTTTCTCTGTTGCCGATTTGTGCCGTCAAAGAATCCGAGCGATCAAAATCTCTCGTCGTTTGATTGTACCGAGGCTTATCGTTCCGAAGGCTATCGCATGATTCACGGAGCAGGCAAACGTACTGACTTCTCAGAACCAGATAGTTATTGCTGAAAGCTGCAAACGGAGCGTCCTGTTTTTAGAGCCATGAGTAAAGTTGTGAAAATTAGTCAGATATGAAAGCATACAAACAAGACAAAAATACCAAGCTAAACTCCGTAGGGTTTGGGTGTGAACAGTACTTTCCAAATTTAGTTGATGTGGACGGTGGTCCTCCAGTTTATCGGAATTCGTACCGCCTGATTTCTCTATATGGAGTATTTTGAGCCTAAAGCATGAAGGTCTCGCCCATTTCAATTACCTGAAACGTGAACAATTTAGACGCAAACGACCCGCTAACCACGACCAACGCGTTTCTTCAGTCCTTGAGCCTGCGCCGAACTGTTCCTCTGAGGTGTTCAAAAATACGAAACATCCTCTGAATCGAGCTCAAACCACATTATTTCGAAAAGTCCATTTTGACTTCATAATTTTGACTCGTCCTGTATTTTGTATCAAGAATTAAGTCAGCGACACGATGATTTTGTAACTTCAGCTATACGAACATAAATGTAAAAAGTGGACCGCATGTGTTTAAAATATTTTTTGGTTATATCCGCAATTTTTACCCAATTCATTTTAGATTCATACCGTTCGACTTGGGCGATATGAAAATCGGAACCCTTTTTTTCTGATGGCTCTCCCGAAAAGGAATCGAAACACCGCAATGCATGAAGAGTTACGAGCCAAGTCCATGCAGCTGATGACCCACTTCGATATTCATGCTACATTAAACGACATTTTGCATGTACGCATCACATTATAGTTTCATCTCAAAATCTGAGATCACTACTTTAAGCCGTCATATCGCTCTTGTAGCAGCTGCCCACCAACAATATTATCTGACTTTATAGTATCAGCCACATTCAAAATACTCGGACACTACGGAACGCAGAATGCTGCCTATCAGCAAAGGTTCATCTTTGCTGCGAAAATGGCAAGGATCAAGAAACTGTCAAACACTTCCGATTCCGTTCGACTATTGCATTTGTCAGTACGAAAAGAAGAATGTAACGTACGTAATTTGAAAGCAGACAAAATTCAACCACGTTTGGTTAAGACATAGAGCAAACATATGGCAGACATATGGCTTCAGTGTCGGTGCATGGGAACTGAACTGCCACCCATGAAGCGATCTTTTTTCGAATCTCCGGCATTGATGCAACTAGTATACTAAATGTAGAAGGTGACTGAGCTTGGTACATTTAACCGACATCGCCTCATGACACAACCCTTCATTTTTTACATTTGACTGTGAACATCCTGACTAAGGCCTAACGCCTTAGTGTCGACATGCTGACTGCGAGAGTCGAGCTACAACTTAGCAATTTTATGGGGGGTGCTCGCGAGTAACAGCATCATATTTAAGGAACGAGTTATTAAAAAGAGTACTCGGCTTTTTTGTTGCTGACGAATTAAATCGTACGTTGGAAAGGATGGGTTATGCAGAAAAATGTCTGAAGCAGGAATATAAGAAGGTAAATAAAGTTATACTGGTTGCAGCAAAGTGCATGTGGAAGTATGTATATTTTTAGGCTATCGACATAGAAGAACTGCAAGTCGGAGTAAACACGCTTTACACAGTCTACGTTGTGTTGCAGCCTTCAAATGGACTTTTCTCGGTGTGACGCTTATTCTTTGCTTATCGTCTTCAATTTCGAACGTAATCGCAATTGAGAGACTGTTGGAATTTCTCTGCAAGAGGAATCCTAGCAAACATTGCCATCGTATTTTTACACCATTTGGATCGCTCTGCTAACGCTGGGCTCTCTTCATTCTTGCACTGAATGAAAACATAAAAAACAGGAACTGTTAATTTCTAGCGCAGTTATTTCTTTCTAGCCCTTCATAAACGAAGTTCCACTTGAGTCCTAAGTCCTGTACTGCTCCCCATTAATGTCTCAGACCTACCGCCTTTGAAAGCCTAAGGTAGAAACCAGTAATTGTCGCGTACGCGTCGTCCCCAGTTGGCGGAGTTCAGACTCGCCGACTGCCATCCGTACTTCTAACCGTTGCATCAGCATCGCCATAGTGCCTGAACTCCTACAAAATTCGAAAGACAAATGCCGAGATTGTCAATTTTTCTAGCACTACCCGCTCCCTAGTTGCGGAGACCGGCCGTGCCACTCCCATCAATACTACCATTTTGCCACCTACGCCCCCGACAAATGTGAACGCAATGGGTACATGGGAACAGGAATAATGAAATTACGGTCGAACACACGCACCGACACAAGCACTAGCCATGAACAAATCATCAGATACACTTAGCGCATTATACGTTTTAGTATAGACCAGACTGTCGTTGAAGCGTTCTTGCTCAGGTCTGACATCAGCATGGGCCTTGATGGCAAAGAGCATTCATACTCATTCATACTTTCCGAGGCTGGGCTCTAGTCAAATGGGGACTTAGAGTCAGAGGCTCCTGTCAGGCTGAAATAAGTCATCTGCTATGCCTTATGCATTCTCCGAAGAGATAAATGTTAATTTTTCCTCGAGTAATCGATGCTTCGGTTCTATGTCCTGAATACTACATCGTTCGGAATTCGTACACCTTAAATTCCACATCCCTCCAAAATCGTGAAGGGGCCACTGTGATGGTTAGTATTAGCTATTTATTGATGTAGGATTCCGAATGTGAAACGTGCACGAAAAGCACTATTTAAATTTACAAGGTCATTTAGAAAGCATATGTTGTACGTTTTGCAATACTCCAGGTTCTTCTTGGATGTACTGGAAAATTCCACGATATGACTCACTTGCTTAATTGGCCCTACAAAGGCCGAATTGTAACCCCGCTTCTGATACGTATTACGTGTTCAAATTCTGTCACTTCGCTACTGGTGCTTATCAACTTGTAGCAAATACATGTTCGATCTTGAAGTCCCATGTCAACCGCTTTCCATACGCGTCGTTCGAAGGGAAGGTATCTTCTCTTTAGTAGGGGTGTGTCGCACCCGCCGCATCCGTTCGCGCGCTGTGAAGGGAAAGGTTTGAATTTCCACTGGGAGGATAATGTCGCATATGGATGTGGAAGGACTGCCTCCTTTTGTTCGAGTCCCTCAAACATGTGACCCGAAACAAGATCGAGGACAAGTCTAGATCTGAAAAATCGAATGGTATGAATTATCCCTGTTATTCTTATTGGACAAAGTGGTGTTCCTTCATGGTAATTTCGATTGATTTTCCAAAAGTACGGAGTAGTCTGGGCATTTGTGGAATTTTCAGCATGCGCCTTCCGAATATCATTAGCTCCTAACTACCTCACGGTTCTCACTAAGGCATAAATACTTCTGTAACAGCTGAAGTGAAGGGAAAGGTTGAAGGCTATAGTACTAGGTTGAGTAAAAAGTTTTGACCGCTTGTTCATCTTCATTTCAAGAAGTTTATTTTCATTAAAAGAGGATCTCAATTATTATAGTAATATAGCCTCCATCGTTGTAGCCAACATATGTCCAACGCCTCGGCAGTTTTTATTAGGTTGGTGCATAATTATTGCGGATTTTTTCAGCAAATTTTACTTGAAGTAACGATAGAAATATCTAGCAGAGACATGTTCAAATAATTACTCCGGATCATATCCACCATCTACGTAAAGCACTACCTCCTATTTGCTAGGCGGTCAGATTCCTCAAGCGAAGAGGTTTCGATTCTTGGAGGCGATCACGCCTCGACGTTAGCCATCAAACCATCCACTTCGTCGAAAGTTCTGTTCGTTAACCAATTTCTCAACTGGCGATCAACGTGATAATCCATAGGAGTTTCTGTTAGTGAGTAAGGGACCGCAGGAGCAAATATCATTCTTTATTCTTCCTTGGCTGACTGTTCCTTCCCCGAGAAGTTCGTTGAGATCACGTTATGACTATGCCGCCTTCCAACATTCCTCGAAGCAATAGAGCATAATTTCTCCTATATGAAGATGACTTTCTAGGCATATTTCTGCTGAGGAAAGTAAGAAGATTACTTCTATAAAATCCCAAATTCAATATTCAAACTATATCAAAAGAAAAGAAGCCGCAAAAAAAACCGCAATAATTATGCATCAACCTAATAGATTCCTGGAGCCCAGAGCGGCCACGTTTCAAAAAGCTGGAAATCTCAATTTTGAGTCTCAAACAATCATCAAAATTTCTATTGCAAAGGTGATGTTTTAGAGCAAGAAACAACTGGTAACAACTGACAAACAACAACAACCAACAACTAGTCAGAACATGTCGGTACTTGAGTATAGTGGATGCTCGCTTCGACAAAATTCGTCGGAGCGAATCTTTTACCAGAGGAGGCAATTGGGCAACTTATGGTGGGCGACAAGTTAGGGTCACTGTCGCCGATCAGTCGCCATATCTCATTCTGAGCATGAGTGTCGAAACCATTAGTTTCACACTGGTGAAGCAGAAAGCTCCGACAGTCTTATTGATGGCACATCCTTCGGTCGACGATTACTTACTTCGAACGAAAACGTCATATACTGATCAGCAATAATATTGACTTATCAACAATGCCCTTTTCCTGCTATCAAATCTAAGCTCTTCTTCAACGCATTCGCAAGCAACATGCATTGAAAAAAATGGACTAAATTTTTTCGAAACTTTCCGTACTTCTTTCGTCTTCGATTTGCTATGTAAAGTAAGTTAGAAAATTGAATTGCTCTCGAGGATAGAGCATTTGACCTATCAGAACATCTGGTTCTCAACTACGCCTGCTGGACTATGCCTGTGTCCGGACGTGACGTTCTCGCAGTGGGCGGCACTTTCCACATGGTTCCATAACTCGATTCAACACGGCTTGAAGGCTAAAAGAAAATGAAAGCGTCGAGTAAACCCCCTTAACTGCTAATTTGCTAGTCATACATAAACTTAGCTAAGCCCCGCCTACTCTGGGTGAGGCGTTCGTCCGAATGAAACTTTTTCATTGAAAGTATATATAACTCTGTTCGAAAATGTTTCAAAACTCGGAAAAAAGCGGTGAGAGGAAGTATAGAACTTGTAGAAATACCTCTGGGAAAGGTGGGGTTTGCACTAAGATAGGCAGGGCTACGATCAAAAATTTATAACTCTGCTCAGAAACTGCTAGAACGCGTAAAATTATGGTTAGAGTTAAAAGAAATTAGAGCCATTTACTCGATGTAGGCGGGCTTGACACTCACATGGGGCCACAATCAAAAATCCGAAAAATCCAAGAACGTTATAGAATACATCGAAAGATGTTTAGAGGTCAAAGTGGTGATCTGGTCAAATCCCTGACCTCTGCGGACTCAGAACTAGGTGGGCCGAGCTAAGAGAAATGCATAACGCTGTTTAAAATTGTTCTGGAATGCTGAGAGAATAGTAAGGAGCAGCTGAAAGAGGGGGGTCAGCATGTCACCCCAATCTTAAAGTGGTCCAACAGCGTTCAGATTCAAAAAGAATCAGCTTATTCTGATACATAAAACATTCCGTTAAGTTATTTTATCGCAGATGAACGATCGTGGACCTATAATGCAATCGTGGGCGTGCTTGTGAGGTGGGTACATACATGTAGCGTATAGTAAGGTGCAAGTGACGGTTTATGTTTTCGACCGGCAATCGTAACTCCTGTTTCCTCAGCCTACACCGTCCAAATTTGTTAGGGGCACAGGGGGCATAACCGAGCTGTTGATGGTAGAGTGCAAAAGTTGAAAGGACTGAGTGTCGATCGCGGGGAGCGGAGCGTGCGTGATATCAGTGAGAATACGCAGTCAAGTGGGTTTAAGTGGAGAATAAACCAAGTTACTTTTACACAGAGCCCGAGCAGGACTCATCTCACGGCAGGCGGAGACCGCACAAAGTGTGTCGATGTGGTTTTGAATGGAGACGAATAACCCGTGTGCTCTGGGACCAGAGCATCAGAATTTAGGAAAATGCAGGCAGCACTTCAACCATTACACGAACAAGACCGTCGGTCGGGCGATTCGACTAGTTTATAAGTAAAGAAGAAAGCGCAGAAAAAAGCCAAAGGCTGCGAAATATAAGTGTATCAAAAGTATTTCAATAGGAGGTTGTATGAACCATACTGACAGAAGTGTTCGACACCTGCCGACATTGCCTGTCTAGTTACCATCTTAGGCAAGACGGATATGTCGTCCCTTCAGTTTTCTCTCAGGAGTCAAGATGCAATCACGTCGATAAAGAACTGCACGGCAGCCGGTCCCGACAGGATCAGACCAGCATATCTAGAGGGCCTTCCGCCAGTCATTGTCAACCCCGTGGTTCGGCTCCTCACGCGGTACCTGCCAGAATACAATTTGCTCACAAAACTAGCAAGACTTGTTGCTGTATGAGAAGTGAGATCTAGACGGTATTGGCAATTATTGCCTTGTCTGCTGCCTCTCTATTCCAACGTCATCCTCAACAGGATCGGCAAAAATCAGATGAAGAACAGCTACGCTAGCATGCAAGGTTTCGCGGAGAGTCCAGTACAATCGACAACATACACACGGTCGCATGACTCATCGAAGTATCGCAGAATGCCTTTATGTTTTACGTTCACCGATTTGGAGAGAGCCTTCGATACCGTCGAGTCAGAAGCGGTAATTGAAGCCCTGGAAACCAGGTGCTCCTACTCAGTATAAAAGGATGCTTCATAGCTCTACAACAAATTCAAAATCAGCAAACAGAATTTCATCGTTCTACAAAAAAGTCATCACCAACGTCAAGAGAGGGATTTGACAGGACGGAATCATCTCGTCTAAGCTTTTCAGTGCCGCTTTCAAGTTCACAATGCGTCATGTGGAATGGGGACGCATGTGAGTGAAGATCGACAGCCGCTACGTGCATAATTTTCGCTTTGTAGACCACATCGTGCTTATAACCCCTAACATGGAGCAAGCGGAGTCTATGCTGGCAAAACTCGACGACGCTTATGGAAGAGTCGGCTCACATTCGAAGGTTGACATGCTTTGGTTAAGTATATCTAGGCGAAGAAGTCAATATGATGAAAGAACTTGCGCGGGCGCTGAGAGGAAAGGAACGCACGGCGTAGGGAGCATTTAAGCATCGAGGGAGTAGTGGGGAAGATGAAGAACATCCTGCTCCGCGCTCACCTTTTCGACATTGCGGTCCTTCCTGCTTCGACACACGCCTCAGAGACTCAGCCTCTACGAAAGCAGGATGAGCATACAATTAGCGTCATTCAACGCCTTTTGGGTAGAACTTTGAATTTCTTTACAGACGCAAGTGCAGAAGGGAACCGGGAATTCCGAGCTCCGCCAACGAACGAAGATTTGGGATGCCGTTGCCTACGCCAAGAAATCGAAGATCAGGTGGCGGACATGTTACGCAATATTGTGATGGACCACCCCGCTTACGGGCTGGATTTCTATGGACGTCAAAGGAACACCAGGAGAGTTGCGATGGTCAGATTTCTTCACGAAAGCTTCGAACGAAAAGAATGTTTTGTCGGTGTCCTGGAGCAAGTACGACTCACTGGACTACTTCGGCTCGCGACAGGGACAAATGAAGACGTTACTGGGGCCGCTCGAGAAAATCGATGATCAACGGGACGACAGGTGGTACGGTGACCCCTTCAAAATTCGAAGGCTATAGGCCGAGAAGGATAGGAATGTTGAATAACCGGCCGGGCAGGTACACTCACATATACAAGTACCAACAAAACCAACAGACACACTTTGCGGATATATATATACATATATACAGATGGGGAAATATATAATTAGCTCAGTAAGTCTGTTGGTGTTTGTGAGTGGGTATGACTCCAGGTTTGGTAAACTGTCCACGTTGCTCAGCTTAGGAAAGCCGATGAGTCATGAATGGCAGTGAAGGGAAGGGAGTAATCCCTACTTGATCGTAAGTGTTGAGAAAAAAGTAACAGATGGGATCTCTTAATGGCACTGTTCGCGATAATTCAATGGGCGGGTGTGTCGATGACGTGTCCGCCTTTCATTCGGCGCCACGTCAGACTGTCGGACGTGACATCGAATGAGAGGCGGACAGTCATCGACACACATTGAATCATCGCGAACAGTGCCTTTAAGTGCAAGCCATCCATCACCTCGATCCATCCATGCGTAGACCCTCTGGAAAATTTTTTCCCCGATTGGGTTATAAAAGTCCCATTTGAGCATTGCACCAGCGAGAATTCCGGTGCAGCTAACCAGTAAGAACTCCTTCAAACACGTCGTGTAAGTATCCTATACAGATGAGCGATGCCGACTGACAATGGGGCCTTATCAAGCAGAAACAGATAATATACACCCTATATCTACTGCTTTGCGAAAATTCTCTAAATAATTAGTTCACATCGAATATACAATCTTCTGCTTGACTTTTTCAGGCACAGGTCTTTTCGACATCGTCAGGGCTACAGCTGAGTTCAGGCTTTACAAGATGGGGAGCGTACGGTAGTCAGGGCAATTGTGTTCCCGATCCGCCGCAGGCCTTGTGCCATTGCAAAGGCAAACCATAGTAATAGTTACCTATTTGTTATTGTACAAACACATTTTGTTGCGAGCCTTTATCACTTTCTGTGTTGTATAACTCTCAGTATCTGCAGCGATAACATCAACGATAAATGGAAAGCGAAAGTGTTGCTCAGTATTCAATATCGTTTAATACTCTAACAAACATTCCAGAATACCATAACTGCGGCTTTCACTAATTGGTCGATAGTTTTTTCTCACGAATTTTTGTCTTTCTCTGAGAATGAAAGCATAACTTCCGCCTGTCCTTACAGTCACCGCAGCTAGAGAAAACCTATGGACTATTCTCGACGATGACAAGTTGCAGTATAACCAAGCCACAATACACTATTCCTAAGCACCGTTCTCTCCAGTCGGCCTGTTCAGTATTGGGTCAGACGGTCTCTATTTAACTCACCGGAAATAAGGCGATCTCTTAGTGAGAGATCATCTTCATCGGGTCGTTCAGAGAGTATTTGCGATTTTTGAGTGTTTCAAAAAAATTTTTATTCCGCTCATACATTCTATACTATAGAACTTCCCAATTTTTTGGCAAAAAAGAAAAAGGAAGGGAGAAAGAAAAGTTAGCCTCAGTCTCGATGAATGGTGTCCCAGAAGGGTGGAGGGCTTTCCCAGACGCTTGATCAAGTTCTAATAGGCAGAGATCCGAGTTAACATTCTGGCTCCTTCAGAGCACTTTAAAATATTATTATAATCTCGCTGAATCGATGGCGAGACCTTCTTTTTCTACAAAAGTCTCTGGACCCGTTGGAGCCGGTTCATCCGGTATTTACCATAATAGCTGGCAACTGACATTGTAGTCAACATCCCAACTTTATCAACAGCTACTATTCGCTCCATTAAGGAATGGTCTTCACTACGTTTGAAGTGTGAAGCGCCGTTACTATCTTGCTGTGCTAAGTGAGTCGCCTTCAGTTCATGTGATGCCTGAACAACTAACTTTCTAATAGTCCAAGTTTTTTTTTGCTGCACCCGTAAATTCCTATGGATGCAGCGGTCATCTCAGCAGCTTCTAGTACTATCACAGACAGTCAACTTTGGTTAATGCCATCAAAAGATCATCTTTATCAATGCCTACCGGTCAGCCACCTTGAAAAGAAAAATCCCCAGAACGAAGAATGCTCCGTCCGACACTCCGTATTCGAACTGCTCCTAAAATTGTAAAGAGAAATCAGGAATTTTCCTTCTCTCTTGCAGTACTCCTGCAGAGATATTTCTAGTCGAAATGGACGGAGAAAATAGCGAAAACAGCAGTCACCCCCTCTCAATTGTCAGTAACCCTCATTCTACGAGTAAATTAATTCGTAGTTTTATTTGGTTTTTGACCACGCCGTTTTCGTGACAGTTTCATTCGTCGCTTCTTCGGCTTATGCTACTAATATACTTCATTCGTCTGTTGTTTCATACATCACGCCCTGCTGGCTAAACCAACCCCCGGGAGAATCAGCAGGCAAGTTTCGCCCTGCAGCCATCTAGCTTTATTGGGTGACTCTCCAGTTTTTACAGATTAATCGCTGTAGGGCCCGCCTCTTCTACGTAGATTGATTCTCGCGCTTACGCTCCATCAGTTAATTGTTATGGATGGATAGTCCAAGCAGAGAATGGACAAAATAGAAACTCGGTGAGATTCATGCTATTCTGGAAAGAGGCAGACAGGTTGCACGACAGTTGCCAGTGTCGTCTTCATCTACTTCCCTATAGAGCAGTGTTAATAGCTTTCCACGACGAGGGCACTTCGCACGCAGACAGACACCGAGGAGTGAGGAGCCGAGCAAAGGTTTTGGCAGCAACACGTGGAACGCTCTTAGGATGTTCTGGCTGAACTTACTGGGAACAGGTGCAATACAAATCTTCGTCGACGTGACGGCATGTCCAGCGTTGGAGAGCAGAGCTGAAAGGACGACATATTCATCGTGCTTGAGAAGGTAGGTGGGTGGTAAAGGTGAATGTTGAAGAGCTCCGAGTAGAATTCTCAGTTCACTTTCTCCATTGCACTTTAAGATCCAGCGTAAGCAATGTACGTTTTTGCTGCAAGGAATCTCATTGAGGCACTATTGGAGCGCCAACCCAGGCTAATGTTGAAATGCATTTTGGACAAGACAAAGATGTAAAGCGACAAGAAGGTCGTGATCCACGCATTACATCCTTGCCCATGTTCGAAAAAAATTTCGTCCCGGTTCCAAAAAAATCACTTCAAAGGCTGAGCCTTCACATAACCACTGCTACTAATTGGTAAAGACCTTCCACTAGTTCAGTGTTAGTACAATCTAACTTACAATTAAAATTTAAATTCAACCAAGTCTACGTAGAAACTACACAATCCACTTCAAGTCTCCGAAGTCCGTGGCGCTGCAGAGTGGCGAAGCCATTAGGAAGCTGCATTTCCAGAAACCAACTTTTTTATGGAGGCATTTAATAACGGCAAGATTTATGTATAAAAGGACAAAGTCCTCTGGCATTAATCACTCCTGTCTGAGGAACGCGCCCCGTCGTCGTTAGTCTCCCCTTCAGAATCGCAGTGGCTGATTGAATGCGTATGTGGCCTAGACAATGACTTGCGGTGGCCAGCCGATGCACAAGTCGAGAATGAAGAATTTTGTATGAAAGGGGAAGGCGATTAAAGGGGAGGGTTCTTTTCCGGCACCTACCGTGCCGGAAATGATGCCTCCTAGAGGGAAATCATTTGGTAGACGACCACACTATATGGAGAAGGTGAACTTATCACAGCATGTTATTGATCCGCAGCATCTCCCCCTTCTTGTGTTTATGGCAATATCGCGCACGAACCGACTTCCGCGACGATCCCCCACTACTGATAAGCATTCGACATAACCTGCCGCCATCACCTGGCGCATACGTGTTTGTGCTTTCAATGGCAAGTTCGGGCAGAGAACTTGGTCAAAAAACTCTTCCTATCGAGCATCACTCGTTTTCAGTTCCACATGTTTATTTTCCTTTCTACTATCCCAGGCATGAAGTATTCTATAAGACAAACTGATTATATGTATAGATATTATACTGGTATTCTGATTATTTTGCTTAATCTGAATTTGAATGAATCATCCGAAGATCGCAACGAATTGTGCACTGCCCCCGCTAGTAGCACCCGAGGTGCATAAAGGCTTGGGTGTACAGCTTAGTTACAAATCACAAACCAATCACAGTTCACGATAATTATGGTTTCTAAATTTAAACATAGTATGTATTCGAGGCCCCCTCGTACACCGTAAGTGGAGCTAACAGGTCGAAAAACGGTCTAGTTATGGGTTATACAGGCTCAAAGCTTGCACCGTGTGTATTCTCGGACGAGTTGCACCGGCACTGGAGAGGCTGCACCATCCACATGGGAACCCAAGCAACTCAAGCAACTTGCCATGACACATAGCGACAGTGAAAGGCAGTTCTGTACGTTCTGGCTTAACGTAGTCAGCTCTTTGTGCATGTGCAACAACTGAAATATTATTCGAATACCCCTCACATATTATTTCCGTCGTGGTAATCTCGTCCAACCTTTACATTCCCTATATTTGTTGAGGAACCTTATTTCCCTCGAAATGGACGAATTTTCTTGCTGTCCTCACTAACGATGAACCATTCTCAATATGTATTTCCGCTGTTGAATAAAGGTACCCTAAAATTATTGTGAACTGAGCCTTTGACATCAACATATTTTTCCATGAGTTCACCTCTGTATCATTCTGTAAGCTTACTCCCATGAGAAACACAAGAACTTTCTGAAGTTGAACAGTTCATATTGAATTTTCGCGAGGCCAACTTCGGTTTCCCAGAAATCAGTCGTGTAGAGAGTCTTTTTGGAATAGTTATTACAGAATTATGAGGGCCATTTGTTTTCATCAAAATCACAGCACTCGGGAGTACGCTATGCACTTGAGAAAGAGAAGAGCTAAAAATAGGAGCAACAACTGAAGGAAAACAATGCACGACGGAGCTACAGAAACGAATCAGGACCTTGATCTTTCCGAAGGTGGAACGAGAGGGTCGTTCCTGTCCTAAGGTGAACGAAAACAGGTACTCCCACGCCATCCGCTCTCTTC